AATGCCTCTCCAACCACCGCTTCATTATTCCTCTGACCAGTGATCCTCGCTGAAGTACTCCCACTGCCGAACAATGCACGTTCCCCTGAGACGCTTTCTTTGCAAAAATCTTCACATGTCTTCACTTTCCTCACATCAAGGGGGAAAAAAAAAAGGTGGGGGAAAAAATAGCCAATTTTGTCTTTCCCTCCCCCGAGTCTCTCACCCCACCTCTTTAAAAATTCTCCTCCCCACCTGGTTCTCTCCCGTTACCTCTCCGTCAGCTTCCTGACCCAGGAAAAAGCCGAGCCTGTGTTAGGCACAGCTTAGTCCACAGCTGTTGGTGCAGACAGCCACATCAGCTGATGGCTTTCAACCTGTTTGTCTGCTCCACTGCTCTCCCAGTGCTTGCTCTGTCCTGCTCCCAGCCGTGCTGGTTGCTGGGGTCTGTGCCCGAGGCAAGTGGACACCGTGCACTGAGCCAGCTCCTCGTCAGTCCGGCCAATGGCTTGCGGGAGCGGTGACCAGTGCTGCCTGCCAGGCAGGCCAACGGAGCAAACCGTGGTTTGCTCATCACTGGTTTTGATGCTATACCGCAATGCGCAGACATGTGACGGAGAACACAGAGGGAATGGAGAACCTTTGCAAGGATTTCAAATCCACTTGAGATCCCCTGTTTCTCAAAGGATGCAGAATGGCGCAGACCTTTCCATCTCCAAGCTTGCACTCTGCAAACTGTTTTAATGATGCAGATGGGAACTACTGTGGCTGCACTTGCCACAGAAGTCAAGTGACCTTCAGAAAGGTGCCCCCACTGCCTCCTCTTCTCCATGTCCCCCTTGCATGGTCTTCATGAGCAGTGCTCATGTCATGGCACACACAACCTTCTGCTCTGCATCAGGCAGGCAACAAAATGGTTGCTTACTTGGCTCAGAAGTTACCAGCTCCTGGACGTGTCACTGCTTGAGCCATCTACCACCTAGTCTGAGGTCTGGTCCAAGCCACGAAAGCATTTCTAGAAGGAGATTAAGGACTTCATTTCCATACCTCTGGTTTGAGAAAGGAGCCCAAGACCATGCCCAGACTTCTTGTAAACAGAAGCTTACAAGTCCTCCGCCTCCTTCCCCATCCAGACAAGGACGTGGCGTGTTCACAGAGAACCCGGTAATTCAGCTGCATTGCATGGAACAGACAAAGCTATTGAGTAAACGAGTCTTTCATCAGCAAAGCAGGAATTCTGCTTTCAAGTGCTGGGAAAGCAAGCATGGCTTTAAGAAAAGCAGGGCAGAAAATAAACACGAGGCTGCCTAGGAGGTAGCATCCCTTGGAGAGGGACACCCCATGGGAAGGCAGGCAACACTTCTACCTCTCCGCTACAGCTGCAAACTTTCCAAGCTGGGGACAGCGCGAGGCAGGAGACAGCAGGAGAGGCTGGGAGAGAGACCCAGGGTAGGAACTGGAGATGGGACAGAAATTAAACGATGGGAAGGGAAAGGCTGAGCAGCAAAATGGAGCACAGAGAGAAGAAAAGCAAAGCGGACAATGTTTTTAAACACTTAAAAAGACAGAGGAAAGGTAAGAACAAGGAAAAAAAAATAACATTGGGACAGGAATATGAATGCATTTCTGGCAGATTTGTTGATCTCACCTGGCAAGGAACAGGCTTGCTCAGGACATTCAAGCCCTCCTTCTGGTTATGACATGGGTAAAAGGAAAAGGAAAACTTTCCTACCCCTCTGTCCGTGTGCAGGTACAGGGACAGCAGAAGCTCCTACATCTCATCAAAGGCTGACAGTTGGGGCTGTTCAGCCCGGAGAAGAGAAGGCTCCAGGGAGACCTTAGAGCAGCCTCCCAGTACTTGAAGGGAGCCTACAAGAAAGCTGGAGAGGGACTTTTTACAAGGGTATTTAGGGATAGGACAAGGGGTAATGGCTTTAAACTGAAAGAGGGTAGATTTAGATATAAGAAAGAAATTCTCTGCTATGAGGGTGGTGTTTGGATGGGGCTTTGAGCAACCTGGTCTAGTGGAAGAGAGGGAGGCAGAGAAGTTGGAACTAGAAGATCTTTAAGGTTCCTTCCAACCTAAACCATTCTATGATGATTCTATGATCCACCATGACCAGGTAGGGGACCAGGAAAGCAGACACCAATGCGGTGCTGGGTTGGGAGCAACCAGGTGGATCGCAGTAGCCCATTTGGAGTTTTTTCCCAGGCTCATTGAGGAACGGATGGTGGTATAGGCATCATTTTGGAGAAACACTGCCATTAACGAGGGGTTTTATAGATGAGGGCCATAATGTTTAATTGCCCTCAGCCAACGCTCTCACAGTTTAAAAAGGCCATTAATATTACTGGCTCAAACCCAGCAAAAAAAAAAAAATTGAAAAAAAAAGAAAAGACGCTGATGACTCCTCCTTCCCCCCTACCCCTTTGGCCTTTAAGCATCATTCAGATCCATAGGAGTGAGATGCAGCTATTGCCCAGCTCTAGCGCAGAGCTACCCATCAGCCAGGGGAAGCCGCTTCCCCCCCACAGAATTTCCCCCCCCCCCTCTA